AAAAAAAAAAAAAAAAGTGAATAAGTTTAATAATTAAATAAAATAGACAAATAAAAGTGATATCTCTTAATTTAGAATATCAAATATGTAAATCTTAAGTTATGGTCAATATTACGTTAAAAATTTGTTTTAGACAGTTAAAATTAAAAACGAAAAAAAAAAATTACAAGATATCAACTGCTACATAATTGTTCAAACAAAAAAAAAAAAAAAAGGTTGATTATATCAAAAGCCTTACATTTTCAGAAATGTCAAGAGCACTAATTTCAGCTCGTACATCCAATGTATTGTCGTAATCAGCAGCACGCTTTCTGAGAAGTCTAAGTTGGGCAGCTGCTTGTGGTTTGTTACCGGTACGTACGGCACCAAAACCAATTGGCTCAACGCACGTTGGTCGAGCACATTCTTGGTTTGGTTCTTTGATGGTAATACTAATTTGGCATTGATAAAACAGCTGTGAACGATCAGCATATTTGTAGACGTGTGCTTCTTGTCCAGCCATCAAATCAGTTGGATATTCCAGGTTATTCAACAGATATTTGTCTAATGCACAACCATCAGCATTCAGAATTTCGATCTGATCACCGTTACCATCATCGACGAAGCACGAGTGTACCACAGCACAGAAGGTATCAACGGTTTCTGAATCGCATGTCCATTTATGGTATACCTGTTGTCCAATGTAAGCAAATTGGATTGGTTGTCCAGATGGTCCACCATCAAGAATCTGTATTGAAAAAAAGCAAAAGTTTTGGTCTCTTTAGCACAAAGTTGATTATACAACAAAGCTCTTTTTTAACTTGTAAATGCAAAGAAACATAAATAATTTTGGTCTGAAGAACAAAAAAATCTCTTTCATTCAAATAAATCAATCTTAAAATTTAATCACAAAATAAGCCAATCCTAAGATTCCAAATATAAAATAACTTTATATCTGTTAAAACACAAATAAAAAATATAAAAATAAAAATGGAAATTTTTTAAATTTGCTTTTTTTAAAATACGCTAAGTAATAAATAACATATCTTTCTACGAAAATATTCTTCATAAATTAATGACTAATAAATTAAAATAAAACAACAGTAAATAACGACTAGAAAATATAACAGAAAAAAAAGAAAACGAAAACAAAAACTGAATAAAAAGATTGTAAAAAAATGTGAAAACCTCGTATCTGCAGACTGGCATTGGAACCACTTGGGTTTGGAATGCTGTTGTTAGATCAGATACTTCAATATCTGTGCTAACAGTTTTGTCTGCTTCCATGTAGAAACATTGTACACGATATGCGCGATCTACTTTTGTCACAAAAAGTGGATGGAAAGAAATTACAACCGTAGAAGTAACAAATATACCACGAGGATTCAATGAACGAGTTCGAGCAACATTGCATGAATCGAATGGCAACTCGATGCCAGCAACTTGACGTCCACCCTCATCTGACCGGCACCCATCTTGATCATAGAGCCCCTTTACATAAACATGTCCTTCAAACGGATTACGAGTATTGAAATTAACTGTTATGGATGTAGGACCACATTCAATTTCTGGGTCCCCTTCAACTCCATTATCAACAGGTATGGCATATACAGAACCAAGAATAACGGCGAGGCCGACGTATAGAACGCGGTACATAATCAGGATGGTGGTGATCTGCTGGATACGTTATCCTTTTAAGGATTTATGGAGCCGATAGGAGACCGCCTTGATCGATCCGGAAATACCGGGGGTCAGAACCGGGTCAACATTTCTTCATTTTAGTGCACACAATGTTATCGCAGCGATGTTTCCCCGACAATACGAGGGCAGACGTTCAAAAAGCGACCGGAGAATTCCATGAAACACATGCACTTTGGCAAACTTTCACTTCATTTTGTTACAGTTACTTATCATTTCACCAATTACAAAGTGTTTCATTGTTTTCACTCTTTCTTCAATTATTTCTTGCAAAAATGTTCCCCAGATTTTTTCATTCTTTCTTTTCTTTTCTTTTTTTTTTTTT